AAAGTGCTTGAAGGGTCTAATTCCAAAGTTTCCCTGGACATTGAAAATGATGACAATGGTGATCCAAAACTGATTTCTCTTCCCAATGGAAACAAATCAGCCAAGGTCAAACTGTTTGATCATATGGTAATGAGAAAGACTAGTTCTGAGATACTTCCATGTGTTAACCCAAAACACTCCATACATTTCTATTTCCAACTGAAGGGACGACATTGATTGCGAATCTACCCAAAGTACCTAAAAGATCTCAGAGACAGTGAAGCCAAGTTGTGTGACTCTACTTAAGGTACATCCATTACCTAACTCCATTATCTTAAAAAATTCCTATTCATGGACTCTTAATACATGATGTGATGATCAGTTTTTGATGCTATTGTAGGATCTAATAGAAATAAAGAAGCTTAAGAAGAGTGAGCTAAATCTAATCGTGAGAGATAGACTTCGGTTGCATGGTTTGATGATTAGAATTTGGAGCTACTTCTTGGGAGTTAGGATAATTTAATAGATTGCTTAGGAGATATCTATAAATATAGTTTTCATTTTTATGCATTGTAACGACAAGTTCCAAATTTTCATTTATTATCAATAAAAGTGAAATTTTGATTTTTCTTGTTGGCATACTTTATATTTACTTACAATGACATCAATGAAAGTGTTGGTCACATTTCTATTATTAGTAATATTAAGTGAGGATTTGATTCTTATTATATCGCTTGTGGTAGTGTCATAATTAACTAAGTAGAAAAGAATTTTCATCACCCAAGTTCCAATTCGATAGAAATTTGGAGTCCTGCAATTTGAATAGCGTGATGTATGACAATCTTGATCGTCGGAAGATTATAACTAATTCATTAATCACATGTTTATCTGAGTCAAGTGAAGGACTAATGGATCTAGCATATGTTGATATAAAGTATTCAGATCCACCATAAAAGATGAAAAATATATTTGTCATGATTTACTAATGTTTTATTAAATATGGATGTATTTATAATATTAGGCATAATTCTAATACTTTGGAAAGATTCAAATGATAGTATAACGAATAAGAAGAATCAATTAGGCATAAAGATAAAAGTTTCTCCAATCTGAAAGGTAATGAGAGTACTTAACATCATGTATTATGATCATCTTAATGATTGTGGAACTATATCACAATTGATCCTCTAAAAGCATCTTATTGCAATTGTATGACTAAGAAGAGGAATCAAATATTGTTAAAATGGTTCTATTGTGAGATGAGTCATACTTGATTTCCAATCAAGTTTTAGATCCCATGGTCTAGTTACTACATATTGTATACTGAAAACTTATTTCATACTAAGTGGGTTTATAACACCTCATGAAATGTGGAGTAATAATGTTTTCTTACTCTAGCACATTTTAAATGGGAAGTTGTGATGTTTTGGTTAAAACAAAGGATAAACTAAGACCAATTCTAGGTGATTTCTTGTTAGGAATCCACACTTATTTTTGAATATTAATTTTATCTTATCAAAGAATATTCCTTGAGAGAGAAACTTATATGTCAAGAAGTCAGTAGGAGTCTTATTGATCCTGAGAGTTCAAGAGCCAGTCGACAATATACCTTTTAGATATAACTAGCACACAACTTGAGGTTGAAAACATATCGTGTTAAGTTGACACATTCTTGTTTCTATACACCTTCCAGTTGAGTTGGCAATGCTTATGAGGTCTATGGTTCGCATTTGAATGCAAAAGGCCAAGCACGTTAGTTAGTGAAACTACATTAATCAATATAGGTGAGCTGCTTAATAACATGGAAGCACTGGTAGGCCCTTGTGCTACCATAGGGCAAGAAATTTAGAATAACAAAGTTCAGTCCATGAAGTAAAGCTAAATTTATATTTGGTTTTGTCCATAACCTTATCTTATGATTGTAGGTTGGAAATGATAGATCCACATGGATGGGAATGTATACAACATTAGATCTAGGTGGAAAAAATTATGCTTTAATTTACGAGATTAATTATGAGAAAACATTTTCACAAGTAGATTTTAAAGATCTGATGAAGATCAACATGGTTAGTGGTTATGTTAACTGCATTATCAAATTCATAATATGATTACAACAACCCTCTTCATATTTTGAATTGTGAGAAATGACAAGGAGTTGTTTAAACTTTGAAGACCAATAACTATAATTTTTAAAAGGGTTTAAACAGACACGTAAGCTATCCAATGAAGGTATATAAGCTTAAGAATTATAGTCGGAGACTTATCAAAGCCTCACGTACCAGAAATCTACACTTTAGTATGAAAGTCAAAAGTATTGATTTCTAGAAGTCCAATTGATTTTTGGGTAATTGTTAAGGAAGTGGGAGCATAATTGTTATGCTTGTATTGTGTGTGTTGGCAATTCTTTTCTTAGGGAACAAACTTTTCAATTTACGAATTGCAAAGTTTGGGAATTGTTTCTCTATGATAGACTTAATGGAGAGGGCACTCATACTTCATTTCAAATCTAAAAGTTTATATTGAAGGGTTTAATGGAACTTAGTCTTGGACTTATATTAATATCATGTTGAAATGATTAAACACAAGAAGTTTATATATGGAAATATTATAGCAAGAGATACAAGATCCTTATGTAAGACATATGAATCAAGTCTCATATACTTCAAATATCGGATCGATTACATATATTATAATATTCACTTGTTTTGATTTTTCCAAATATCTTGCACATTGATAGGGAAAAACGACTAGAATTTTATGTGACTTGAGTTGTTAAACAACTATCAAGAACATTATAAGGTTTATTGAAGATTGGTTGCTTGTAGACAGTTGGAAGCATGGTATTGCTTAGAAGGACCATAATGACATGTTTTAGATTGAGTTGATTCTTGATCAGAATTGATGGTCATATAGGAATATGGAAAAGTTTCCACAATGGGAGTTAATTATTAAAAGCTACATGTGAGTTGGAAAATTTAATGCAAGAACGATGTTCAAGGACTGTACCTTGAATTTGAGACTTCATTACCATGTAATTGCTTTTAGTAACCAAGTTCCAATGGAACATTCTATTATATCATTGGCTAAGTTTTTGTGACTTTGAAGCCTCAATATCATTGAAGCGTAATACATGTAAGGTTGGAATTTTAACACATTTTAAGTAGTGACAAGAATTTGGAATTGTGAAATGAGCATCAATTGTATAGTGTGCAGTCGATTTGTTCACAAAGTAAGGACCATAGAAAAACATAGTATGCATGTTAATTCAAAGTGGTTAGTTGATTAATCAAAACATTATATAATGAATAAAGTCTTAATTCTTATGGTGATTAAATAATAAGAGTTTTATTTATTTTCAATAGTTTTGAGACCATAATTAATAACATGGCGTGACTGCTGTTTAATTCAAGTGGTTAGTTGATTAATCAAAAAATTATATAATGAATAAAGTCTTAATTCTTATGGTGTTTAAATAATAAGATTTTTATTTATTTTCAATAGTTTTGAGACCATACTTAATTAGGTTATTATTGTGTTTCACGTTGCATGTTTTACTTCCTGGATAATTTGATTATTCGAAATTCAACAGTCGCTCATACTTTTAGAAGTAAGAAGTGAATTAAGGCTATCATGAGTTGAATTGTAGAATGTCTATGGAGATTAGACATTGCAATGGTTGCTACAATGTTCATGAGTACTTAGAAAATAGGGATTTTGAGTATTGGATAAACCCACACTGAGAGAATTACTTCATGGATTTTATCACAAGTAATTATGAGACAATAATATCTTATATTCTTAATACGAAGATATATGTTCTGGTTTATAAGTCAGTTGTGTGCATTGCTAATACGTAAACACATCAGTAACTTGATATTATAAAACATATTGTTGTGTATGATTTGATCAGTAAATAGTGCAAGAATATACGCCAAAGTTTATTCATTCCTTTTTCCCTGAGAGGAAAAGCAATATCTTTGTGACCCTCAGTGATATAGTGTTGACTTATAAGTGCTAGGCCTAGCTAAGACTAAATTAATGTGTTCAACTAGAAATCTTATGTCATTATAAAAAATCGAAAAAACGGAGGAATTTTTTATCACTTATCCTAGGACATGTAACTGTTTGGGTCAGAGTTCGATTGTGGCTTTTGGAGGCTACAATTTTTTGATCAGTTTGGAAATTATACTGGCAATTATTATACTGGAAATTATAATTATAGACTTATCCAAGTGGGAGACTGTTGGATTAAGTGTCTAAGTCCATAACTATAATTGGTATAAACTTGAATTATAGTAGCACAATCCTTTCTAGATTGCCCTCAAATCTAGCAATCAGACAATATGATTTTAGACAGAGTGATTAATTTATTATGTGATTAATAAATTGAAATAAATGTTTTATTAATCTATTATAAAAATAATATATTCATTAGAAATCATATTATTTAATTAATTGTTAACTTGAATTAATTTTGTGATTAATTAGATTACTTAAAATTGTAGGAACTATTTGGCTATTTACTAAAAGTTGAATAAGGAAGGCTCAAGGACCTCATTGGATGAGGTGGACGAAAATCACTTGGTCAAGCCCATGAGTTTTCGTCCAAGCCCCTTGGATAAGGGGAATGCGTTGTTTGGTCACGAAGCAAAGGATCTAGGGCATGTCCATGTAACCCTAGCGTTTGCACCAAGTTTCCTTAACTATATAAGGAGTCCATTGCCCTTTTAATTTCATCCATGTCTTTCTTCTAATATCCTTGGATGAAATATTGGCTCATTTATCCTCTCTCTCTATACTTATCCTCTTGCTAGCTTGGGTACGATTCCATTAGAGGCATGAGAATTCTGGTGCTTGCTTCCCAAAGATCAACAAGAAAGTGTTCATTGTTATATTCTGCAATAACAATCAAGGTATGTAATCGTTAACCCTAATTTGGTATTTTCGAAAATAGCATAATGTTCTTAGGGTTTCCTTTTGATGTTCATAGTTATAGATTCAATAGAGAAATGCAAATGCAAATGCAAGTGGTGATTGTACCAACTCCAACTCAGCCTGAGATGAATGAAAAGGCTGAAGCTGAAGCTGATCCTCAAAAGCAGATTATTGTTCCTGATATCTAGACACTGATGCAACAAGTGATGATCAACTTATTTTGACACTAGTGACCAATCAGAGACCGATGGCTATGAAGGGTTTCTTGATCTTTGTTTCATGCCACAGGCTGTTCTACCTTTGAGAATTATCGACCCTGATTCTTACTTTGACGGGGAGATTCCTAAAGAAGAAGTTCCTCAAGGAACTAATAGTGACATTGAATCTGAATTGATCAGCTCAATCCTCAAAAGAGGAAGTCTTGTTTATCAGGGGGAGCTCATGACGTTGAAGCTGGAAGCTCTTCTATTTTGTTGCTGGTAATCCTTCAACGACTCCTCCTAAAAAGAAAAGCAAGATCATCTTTGATCTAAATTAATTAGCAGAAACATGGAGGTTACCTATTGACGATGTTAGAGAAATCATGTTATAGTATAATGCTATTGTTCAAAAAAAGAAAGAAGCAAGAAAAGAAGAACATCTGTCTACCAAACTTGCTCAAGATCTTGCTTTCGCTGATAAGAGTGCTAATGTTTAAAGCACTGATAATCATTTCAAGAAGATCTTCAATATTAATACGGAGAAACAACACATAGGTTCAGACCTGAAAGACCATATTGATAGGAAGAAGTTTAGAGACATTTTAACTCGAAAAATAAAGCCTGGCCCCATTATCAAAGTGAGATGCACCTAGCCGAGGAATGAGTCATTAAAGCTTCACTTGGCTAGAAAGAAAACGTAATATGAATACATTGAGGGTGTATTTTCTCGTGAGCTAGTCAAATTTGGCTATAGTGAGTGGATGCAAATTCAAGGAATCATTGACAAACTTGTGGGTATTCCAGCTCAAGAAGTGAAGTTGGCAATTCAGGAGTTGCTTAGTAATGTCAAGAAGTTGAACCTTCTTCCAGCAACATGTCCATCTAGATCCTCCTCCTTAGGAAGAATAGGCACTCCTAGACAATCTAAGAATACCAAGTTTCTTCTTGCTTATTGTATTAAGTACATTAGCAATAAACTGACAGTGGGTGTTGAACCTGTTGGATACATGTTCATTCTAGAACCTAAGCATGGTATATTTTATATTGACAGTTAAAATTAAATGTGCTTCCAACGCACTGATGAACTTCCTTCTGCTCCCACTAAACATTGGTTTCATCTTAGCTTGGAAGGACTTACTCACTATGAACTGGAACGAAGATATTACTTGCTAATATCTCTAAAGCTTAGTAGAAGACTGGATAAAGTTAAACATGATCAATTCAGATGGGTTAGGTTTGAGATCTTGAAAGAAATTGGAAACTTTTATATTTTCTATTCTAATGATTCTGAAGAAGATTAGTTTTGACATCATCAGATATGGGATATTGTAAGGTCACACCTTATGTTTTGATGAATCAAACACTCTACACTATTTGTCAGCATCAGTGTCTTCTCTACTCCCAACACCAACGTATCAAGCCTATCAGTGTCATCACATGGTATTGTTATTCTATTGTAATATTTTGTATATTAGTTAATGGTATATATCAGTATAGAATAGACAATAGATCTGGTATTTTTGTTTTGAGGATTGATTTATAGTACAAATAAGATACAATCCCTTAAATCATGGGCTTAATATGTATAGATTACTATATAATCTACATTAGGGTAAAACCTAATGTAGAGAGTTCGACTTTGTGTCAATCGTCTTTCTGACAACCCGTGTTCTTGGTGAAGACAAAACTCTTTCTTGGTGCAAGAACAATTTGGAGAACTCTCTTTGTTATTTACTTTTTGTTCTTACTTTTTGTTTGATTAATTTACTTTCGTTCTTTATACTTGAAGTGTATCCGATTGATTCAAACCTTCACGCTTTAATGCATCTGTAACTTGATGTTATAAAGTATATTTATAAGTATAGAATGATAAGTTAAATGCATGATCATATAGTAAAAGTTTATTCATACTTTTTACCTATTTAGGGAAATCGATATCTTTGTGCCCTTCGGTGATTTGATGTTGACATTACAGTGCTAGGCCCAACTGGGACTAACTTGATGTGTTTAGTTCATAGTCTAATGATGCCATCATAAATCGGGAAATCCAGAAACATAATATTGGAGTATGAGATAGATTATTTTCCATGTCTCGTGTCCATGCAATATCATGAAGAACGAAGGAATAGTTGATCGCTTATCTTAGGGTTGACGTTTGATTTAATCAGACTTCGGCAGTGACTTTGCAATGCACTCTTTGCTAGTTCTTTAGAGATTTGTACTTGCAGTTATAGCTAGCGACTTATCAAATTGGGAAACTATTGGTTTAAGGTGTTTAAGGGCTTAAATAAATTGGTATATTTGATTGAATAATATTGAAGTCTTTTTTAGGTTTCCCTCATAACCAGTAATTAGTTTGGAATGATATTAGGAGGGGTATAACTAATTTATTAATATATATTATATCATTAATATACTAACTAGAAATAGTAAACAATTAATTAGAAACTAATTGGAATTCGTTAGTTAATGGATATTGATTAATTAGAATTAATTGAAGGTACAAGGGTTAGAATGCAATTGTTCAATTGTAGAACAAGGGAGGCATTCTAGAACCTCCTGATAGGGGGCAGTTTTGAGAATCCCTTCTACGGTTTCTGGAAACCTCCTTTTGTTCAAATCGAAAGTAATTTGAATTGGATCAAAAAATTATTATTTTAAATTCAAATCAGGGTTTCGTACAACTATAAATATGGACCTTTAGAAGGATTGAAAACCCTGCATAATTCATAAGGATTTTCGAAAATCCATTTCTTCCCTCTTTCTAATTTTTGATCCTAGGATTTGGGTCTGACACATTAGAGGCTTCAAAATTATTGGGGCTAGCATTCCAAAGAAGGGTTCTTCAAATTTGGTTGTTATTTTCAATAATAACAAAAAGTATGTAACCTAAACTTTTGTAACTTTCGATTTTAGCTTGGGTATTTAGTTTTTCAAAGTATGTTGCTAATATGAGAAAAGCCATAGATTACTGGTTTGCATGTGCCCATAATTGTTATGTGGAATTTTGTAAGTAAATATAGGTAATCTAGAACACCCATTAGTTAAAGCAATTTCCTAAATTCACCATCAAACCTTGTTCTTTTGACACCATGTGAAAAATCCATGCGATAGGAGAAACTTCTAAGAATGGGCTTCATAAGATCAAGATCAACATCAATGCTCTCTCCTTCATCATCAAAATGAAATGGAAGGGCCAATTATTGTTTGACAACTAATTTGTTATTTCTCACCTATGGTATGGGCTCACATCAGGGAAAAGGCCTGACACTAAAGCTTAGCAAATTTTTAGGCATAAAGACAAAGTCAATTCCATGTCCATAGTCTTCTGATTGTATAGCATTTCTTTGAGATTTTTTTCATGAATATCTACTCCAAGGCATATGTTTTAGCACTTATGTTGGTATTTGTATTTGAGGTCAGAAAAGAACAACAAAATTTTCACGAGACTATGTCACACACCTCTTATTTGGAATTCCACATTCACTCATGGGATCTGATTCACAACATATTTCAAAACAAATTAAATATAATAGAAACATGATATTGAAGAAATGAAAGGAATATATGAAAATATGTTACAACTTACAAAAAGAAGTGATATTGTCATTAGTTTTTGACAAAGTATCATCTCCATTCCATATTTCATCTTCTTTGGATATGTTAGCATCTTCAAATTCGAATAACATTAAATGTTAATTTAAATATTTTATTAGCAATTGAACAATTCAACTAGTAGAAATAATGATTTAACTAATCAAACGTCATATCTTTAGTTTATTAAAAGTCAAACCTTGACTTAAAAAGGACAAAACAACTTTCTTAATGAAAGTTAATACAAGATCCTAGTCCTAAAACAATGATAAAGATAGTTCGATGATAAGACCATAACCCACCTAAAATCACACACACATCTCATATGTCAAATATAATACCTTGAATTCTACACAAGACTAGGAGGGCTCTTCGATGGATCGCTTTCAGGATGTTTCTTAACATAGGTATTTTCGTTGTAAGATCGAACCGAGCACCGATCTTGATTATAGTTGATAGACAGGTAGTACCAAAGAGGGAGGGAGGGAGAGAGAGAGAGAGAGAGAGAGAGAGAGAGAGAGAGAGAAAGAGAGAGAAAGAGAGTGATATGGACATATTTAGTTATAAAATTCATGCATTATCTTAATACTTTATGTTGTTTTTGTTTCATTTAATCAAAAAAAGGTGCTTAATTAGTTTATAATTTCATTTTTCAGCAACAATGACATGTTCGGATGGAAAAGGAAGCAGAACTAGCGATTGGAAGCTTGGATCTTGGATTTTGAAGAAAGAAGGATGTTGCTGGACAGCTTGACCCCTCGTTAGTGTTTTGGCCATATCTCATGAACCATAACTCTGATTGATGAGATTCAAAATGTTTTGAAAACTACACACAATTTTGGACGAATTTCATGTTTTGAGAAAATGCTGATTCCAAATGGACTCGGCGCGTAGGCCATCAACTCGCCGAGTTGGTCAGAAGTTTCATGATTCTTGACATTGTCTTACCGTACACGGGATTTTAAGTGACGAACTCGCTGAGTAGGTCACTGTACTTGCTGAGTAGGTCCTGTCTTCATAAAATATATATAGAAACGCTTCTCATTCGAACCCTAACGAACGGGGGAAGTTTAGGACGATTTTTGGAGGCCAGAAGGGTTCTTAAAAGCTGTAGTTTTCGAGATTTCAACTTAGATATTAATTTAAAAGAAGATCAAAGGCAATAACACACTACTTTTATCTTAATCTTTTGCATAAACCATGTTTCAATCATTATATTATGTTTTTAGTTTGTTATTTGCTATAGATATGAGCTAAAAACTCATAACTTCTGTTTAGGATAGATGATTTTGTGATTATGGTTTGATTTTGTGGTAGGATTGATTTAATATTGGTGATTTTGTAGATTTTAGCTTGTTAAAGAACCTTATGTATGATTTAAAACTATTTTTCAGTTATTATGAAGTTAATTAAGTTGTATGAACATCTCTTAATTGCTACCTCATATAATTTATGTGACCACTTTGTTATATGACTAGGATTAACGATTGTGAAACTAGAATTAATAGAAAAATAGGTAAAATCATGTGTGAATTTCTGTGATGACCATCAACAAGAGGTTAAATAAAGGACCAAATTAGTTAACCATTACAAGTCTAAATTAACCTAAATAAATAACCTAGTGAATTGAATTAAATTAGACAACTGGCCACTGTTTGACTTAGTTTGTTCCCTAAGGATTAGTGCAGCGAACGTGAATCTAATCATTTGAATATGTAGTTAATACAAGAATTAATCTATTGCACTATTACCATAATATCAACCATAGGATCAATTGAGTTGGGCTAAATAGAAGTTCCCTTCGTTATTGAATTTAGTTGGATCTTTCCTTATCTAGTTTTTAGTTAAGTAGTCTAAGTATTAGTTGGTAAGTTTCTAGTCTTGCAAAACTAGAGAAACCCCTTTTTATTACTTGTTTTATTTAGATAATATTAGCATTTATTTTAATTGTTTACCATTCCCTGTGTTCAATACCCTATTGCTTGAATTATATTACTAATCGATAGGTACACTGCCTTTCGTGTGTTTATTTTGTGTCTAAGTTTGTAGGATTAAAACTAGTTCGTTTCACCACATCAAGTTTTTGACGCCGTTGACGGGGAACGGTTCTAAATAGTTAATTTTATTTGCTAATTCTTATCATTTTTTTTATTTGTTGATTATTTTTTTTATATAGTTTAATTTTTATTTATTATGCATTTTCCAAATCTCGATGCTTTTGATGCTTTTCTTGAGGAAGTAGTGTAGGTAAATGAGCAAAAAGATGAGGACTATGACTCAGATGATGATTTGAAGAAATTTGATAGATGGTTAGATAACATCTTGTCTAACGAACAAGAGCAAGCTGAGTCACAAGAGGTAAAGTTACAAGATGAAAAATTTAATCCAGAAATAGATTTGGAGGAGCTGGAAAGGTTGCCAGTAGAGAGGTCGGATGAAGAACAAAAACAAGTTGAATTGC